ACCAGTGCAATACCGTAACGGATTTAGCATTCGTATCATGTCTACCCAATTGTACAGCTAGATCGTTTGCGTAGTGTTCCGTGAAGTCAATTGTTAGCTATAATTTTGTCAATTGATAATTGATATCAATCAGATTGTTTTTTCTCGAGTTCTTTCTCATCAGTTGTTTGTAGACTGTAGTGTTTCCTTATAGTTGAGAAAGATGCAAAGTTCAAAGATAAAGGAGAATATGCAGTTCTAAACTTACGCTTCATTCAGGAATTCCTCCTCTGATGAATTGGAACAGTTGAACAGTGAAATGAAGGTGCCGCAATGTATAAGGTATTTCCTTTTTTGTTGCCTTGAGTTCATGGTGCACTATCGGTCAGAGATTTGGCATTTTTCTGTCTTAGATTCCTCGCAATCTAAAATTCTTGGGAGCAAGCAGAAACACTTATATAGGATCCGGCCAAGTTTTCACCCGCGAGGAGAAAGAGTATAGGTCATCAGAAAGAGAGCCGAAAACGTTCATTCACTGGTGGGAAATCATCATTCTACTATCCTATGGCCTCTCTCTTTTTGTTTGAAGGCCTGTCTGACTGACAGGAAACCGCGTACTGAAAAACCACCTGAAGAGACCAGATTAAGGTTGGGAAGTGTGGGACCTGGACCAGGATGAACGAAGTACAGAAGTATGAATGTGTAGAGCTCTTCCTACTGCGAAAGCCTCTGCACTTACAATGGAAGGGTGATACGGCGATGTGGCCATTTGATGTAATGTAAGCAGCGTCTGAAGCCTCTTCAAAGACTGGTCACAAATTCGTATTCTACATCTGCCGTTAGAATAAAATAGAAGCAATTATTTCATTTGCATGCACTACCTTCTCCCCTCCCCTTCAAGGTCCTGTCGAGGATTCCTCGCCTTGAGCTTGACCTAAAATGAACTCTTTACAAGTGAGGATTACAAGATGGACACAAATTCAAACGATATTAGACAGGAGCGGGAATGAAAGGCAATAATGCGAATATCTCATTGAGAATGCGTTCATACTAGTTGGCAGCAGCGGGATTGAGTCGAGACTAAATTGCGCGATACTTGCATGTGGATCGCGTACCTAATGATTTCTTTAATAGGTCCGAGCCGTCTGACGATGATCAGTCTCAACGACAGAAGGCGACATCGGGTCGCCGAGGCCGACACTGGATACAAGAAATCATTCGGTACACGATTTACAAGCGCGATTGCGCGATTTACTCAATGATTATGAATGCAACCTAAGAAGGCCTCTTGGGAGAAAATCTGGAA